AAATTCATCCGTAGAAGTATGGCGACACGTCCCATCAGCCACACGGCCTTCTGGGAGTGTTTGGATCAACACAAACAAAATGATTGAACGGTTTTGATGTTCGGTGCCACGTCAGCAGAGTCAGGCTCACTTAAATCGATCCTGGTGAACTGCCATGTGTTTGTCTGCAATCAAGAATATGTATTTATACTGAAGGAATCCGATGAGCTATAACGCTCTTTTTCACTGATTTTCAGTCGGGGTGGGTAAGAATGTTACAACAACAAACTGTACAAACGCATGGAAGTCGTGCAAAGTACAAGAAAGGTAAACAAATCACCCAAACACACACCAATGAAACACTAAACCATCTCCATCCTACCAGACAAAGCCCACTGAGGTATGAACTTATTGTTCAAAAGCGACCTGGCGACATATGATAGCTCAACAAAGTGGCTCACCATTGTGGGCATTTATAGCAGCAAAATCATCTAAATGGTCGAAACTCATGTTCTAAATCTGGAGGTCAAAACCGGATAACCTGGAGAAAATTTCCATGCGAACACGGGGAGAACGTGCAAACTCCAAATATACAGGCGTCAGTGTCGGGATTGAACTCCTCTCAGTTACGTATGGGATACAGTTAGACACGAAACTATATTATACGTAACACCAAATCATCTTTCACGTCATTGTTGCACAAAAAATAACTATCTTCCTGGTTCTTTCGGCAAAGTCATGTAGAAGGGAAATAATAAAATAATAAAAATAAAACATAATAAAATACAATTCTCACGACGTTTCGGCCACAACGCAAGCAGCCGTCCTCAGGTGAAGAACAGGGCAGTCGGAAAGACAGCGTCCGACAGCCCTGTCCTTCGGACGCTGTCTTTCCGACAGCCCTGTTCTTCACCTGAGGACGGCTGCTTGCGTTGTGGCCGAAATGTCGTGAGAATTTTATTTTATTATGTTTTATTTTTATTATTTCCCTTCTACGTGACTTTACCGAAAGAACCAAGAAGATGAATCCCTGCAGTCACGAAAGCTTTAAAACGAAAAAATAAAATAACTAGTGAAATAAATAAGCAAACACGTGTACGCCTAGTCGCATGTTTCACAGGTGAGTACAGCCTGCCAATGTTGCTTTGCAATTTTTTTACCAAATTAATTTGATTAGCAGTTAAACTTTCACGTTGGGGAAAATTGGGACCCTGTGGCGCCTGGGTTCTAATGGCTTAGAACGACATCACGAGATCTCTAACGGCCACTGCTTAAGCAGACAGCGTGGAGTATTTTACGGTGAACATGCCCCCAAATTATTTACCCAGAGTTGGCTGCCGGGCTCAAAAACCACGAACTTTTGCAACAAGCGACAAAACGTGCTATCGCTCGGCTATAACGTGTATATATATAAGCACAGTTACGCATTAAAGAGGTCCAATACATTTGCCCGATGTAAGGTTTCCGAGAGAATGTTCACATATCGTTCGGTACTTGAAGTTTTTGCAGTAAGCAGTCTGCCCATTTGGAAGGATTAATTTGCCATCGAGAATATGAAATGCTGAACATTTGCATTGATAAATATGATATTACTTTCCCCAGCTGACCAATAATTGTGCATTTTGAACACAACATATGAAATTACCACCATTTTATGATACGCTCTTAATTTATGTCCTGCCGTTAATTCTTATTTGATTAGATTTTTTTCCCCTCTCCTAGTGTATTGGCCCTGTTATTAATCTTCTCGCAGTCTGGCAAAGTACACTCAAGATACCGCTGCAGGGAGCACTAACCATGTCGCCCACAGTTTCGCCAGCGCGGTTGCGCACACGCGCGCTCTCGCGTGCGCGCACACGCATCTAAAAGCGCAATGAATGGCTTCCCACAGACCTCTTCTTTTCCTTCTAAAATAGCTATTTCGACGAATAGACAAACACAAACAAATGCAGACACAAAATATACACGATCGTCGATCGCCCTCTTTGAAAAGTTCATGACCACCATGCAAGTGCTGGAAGATGATGACGATGATGATAATGCCATCAGCGGAAGGGTTAAGCTTCCGTATTTAATTAAAAAGGTGTCGTGGCACGCTCCGCAGTGGCACGCACTACAGACCAGTTTCTCAATTAAGGGAATATATTGCTTCCCAAGCACACATTATTACGGACATTTTTTTTCGTCAAAGAGAGGCTTCGTAATGCGGTAATGGCTTTCGTCTGTGGGGCATTGCTTTTTGCTTGTGTGCAGCTTCTACGGTACGTCGAGATGCAGCCACGGTTGCATTGGTTAGCGCGCTGGACTTGCAATCCAGAGGCCACCGGTTCAACTCCGCCTCCACGCGTGACAGTCGAAACAATCGGCAATTTTCGTAAATACCCCAAACCGCCTCCGTCCAGCTAGAGGTGTAAATGGGTACCGCCAGAGGCAGTCGATCGGCAAGTCTCGTGCGGTGAGTGGGTGGGTGGGTGGGGTAAACTGTGGGTAATCCCACCTCTTCCGTGGAGTGGAAGACGAGGCCAAAGTACCCTGAAGAGGAGGCCAATAGCTTCCTTAGTGGAGGCCCTTCTGGCAGCAGTGGCGTTAGCAAGCATGTCTGGGCACTTGTTATCGCACACTCTTGTGAGTCCGGCCCATCACGAATGCACGCCGATATAAATGAAATATATTTTTTTAGAAGTGATTTTTGTATTTGGTTTGTTTTTCTTACCCCCGCCCGCATCTCCCATTAGCACAGTTGGCTATGTACGGTGCGAAAGAAGTTCAACATACATACTTGCATATAGCAAGCTGTTTGGAATCACACTGTTTTTACTCTGTCGCAACACTGGCTGGGACTCGAGGATGAACCCCGGACATCTGCTGGTAACCGTAGCGGTGCGCCAGCACGCCCTAAGAGGAATCACAAGGCGTATCACGATTGTGCGCGTAACGAAACTACACTTTCACGACTGCGTTGCGTCGTTTCCTTTTGAGGGCTGTGTTTTTGGACTTAACGTGCGGAGCGTTTCGCTGTTCGTCGCTCGCGCGCCGCTACCGGTGCGGTTTCACACGCGAAGCTCCAGCGGTGTTTTTAATCTGCTGCCTCCCGTGGCTCAAAACGCAGCAGCAGCGGCGGCGGCGGTGACAACTGGAGGGGCTACGCTTTGAAAGCGTCCCCCCCCCCCGCACCCCCATCATGTCCCCGCAACGGTCAGAGCGAGGCTCTTCAGTTTCGCCACGGGCACGTGGGGAGAAACAGTTTTGAAATTGGCCCCGTTCGAATTCACCACAATGCCCAGCTGGGCCCCATCAGACAAATGAAATCGAGTAATGTTCACCGGTGAGAAAAGAGGGCTCTTAAATACCAATTCCCAGGCTTGGGCTGACCCGTTTCAAAACCCTCCCGCTAAGTAAAAGGTAAAATAGGTAACGGTGTAGTCCTGCAATTGCTCGCTCATGCCAACGCTTGCTGAAGGTTCTCTTGCACCAAAGGGTATTGACGTGCATACTAACAGCCTTTGTCTTTCGAACAAAGCCATTAGGGTGCGTGACATCCACTTCATAACACAATGTAATGGCAATGGTAATGTCCCAGAGCATTGCTCACTGACATCACTGATTGCCATGGCGAGATAACTACCTCGCCCGGTATACAGGAGGTCGTGGGTTGGATCCTGACCCCAGCGCTTGTATGTTTGGAGGTTTGTTCTCTCCGTGGTCGGGCAGATTTTTCTCTGGGTCCTCCGGTGTTTCCCTCCACATTTATAAACATGTGTTTAGAGTATTTGACTGCTATAAATGTGAACGCGATAATAAGCCACTTCGTTGAGATATCATTTGAGATGGCCATGTTGCTTCCTACAAAAAAGAGCTATGTAGCTCAGTGGGCCTTGCCTGGGAAAATAAAATAAAAAAAGTTAGTAAGTTAGTTGGTGCTGGCTCATTCGGGGCCCAAAGCAGACGTTTTGTTCGGCACCCTGCAACCCCTTTCAATGCAGAAGCTACTCGATGACAGAGGAGCAATAGGCAGAGATACAAATATAGGAAGGTTAGGGAAATGTGGACAAAAGATAGAGGTCTTGATTTGAAGCGTTCGTGACTGCAGGAATCCATACTCTTTGGGTTTTTCGGTAAGGCCACGTAGGTATAAAAATAAAATAATTATTATTTTATTTTACCGAAGAACCAAAGAGTATGGATTCCTGCAGTCACGACAGCTTCAAATCAAGAGATATACATTTGCTAGTGATGTCAATTGTCTTGATGGGTCTATGGTACCCAAATTTTAACACTTTCAAGACAATAAAAACATAATAGGCTTGACCATTTTAGCACCTGTATTATTGCCAGAAAGAGCAAAGCCTGCTGTTTGTCATTGTCTTGCTGGTTTTATTATTAGCTGGCGCACCCCTATAGTTTCCACAAATCCGGGTACCCTTGCGCTAACTGGGGCAACATCTCGTGCCAAGGTCGGCTAATGCATAGTGCCACGGCTGCTCCACTGACTGCCAGACTTCAACCGCTGACCCCAATGACAACTGCTCAGACCGGGCCTCGGCAACACGCGGCTCCGATCAGCACTGCTTCGTGGCGTTATTCATCAAGGACCTTCTCTCAACTCATTACACCTCCAGCTGTTGTCCACATTGCCCTCTTCGTTAAGGACCACCATCTCCTATTCACGTGCATTGGCGGCTTTTTAAATGCTTGGGGGTTTTTTTTGTGTGCGTGTTTTTTTTACCGGATTGGAAAACAAATTTGGCTCCCCTTGCGTAATTTTGTTGCAGACCTCCCTGGCTCAGACCTAATGAGGACACTGACCACTGGGGCTTTTTACCTCACCGGTGGAAGCTTTGATGACCGCCGAGCTGACCAAACAGCCCGCAGCAGGGAAGGGATCTTGTAATGTGGGGCCAGCGTACGGATGTATGTGGTTCACGTTGTGTTCCTGTCGTTGACTTTGATGGAAAGCGGTAGTAAAGACGGGGTTTGGGGAGGATGTGGATTGGCTTTGACCGCCGCTGCTCTGCCCGCAGGTGATTGAGACGAGGAAGGGTCCCCTCGGATGCAGTTCCTACGAAAACCTGGACCTGGTCAGTTCGGTTCTTATCCAGACGCCGGAGAACAAGTTACAGCTGCTAGGTGAGTGCTTCATCCAGGAATCATGTTACGTGTGTGCCTGTTGTTAAACCATGAATCTGGAAACAACTATAAATAAACAAACCCACGATATGTTTGTGTTGTTGTGTTGAACATAGCCCCAACAATTGGATGGAGAGCTCTTGCATATGCGATAACATCCAGCAAGCCAGCAGCATTTGTTTAACAAGCCTGGCTCTGTTTATGAGACTCTGTTTGCTCGCCTAAACAAATCCTGCTGGATAATATCGGTGTAGAAACTTTACTTTTTATGCATGCACGTATGTATGCATGTGAAGTGTTGTTGAAGACGCGTGGACAACGGGGTAAGGCACACGTATTTATTTATACAAAGGGCTTACAGTACTAGAGGGATGTATCGGCCCCCTCACCCGTACAACTGGGAATTCACCCCTAGCTAGCCTTCCTAGCTGAGTCCTCCGCTAACGGGCTAGGGGAGGCTGTCTGGCCCGACACTGGTTAGTCGGGCTACGGTACCCGGAATCCCAGAGGTCTGACTCTGGTTCCGGGACCACGCCACTGGCTCCAGCCTGCACTGCCCTTACAAGGGCGGCGTCCCAGGGGGAGTCCAGGGCCTATCTGGCTGGTCTTCTCTCTTCTCCTAACTACTCTAAGACTGAGCCCCGAGCTCTCTGGCTCAACCCTTTTTATACCCCGTTAGAGGATCGAAACCCCCCTCACGCCGTCCAGTACGGACGTCGTTGCGGGCACCACCCCGTGTGCTCACGGAGACCCCGCCCACTGTGTCTGTTTTCCATTAGCCCCTATGTAAACAGCCCTACACAAACAGACCCTCTGTAACAGCCCTACATCACCCCCCCCTGTACAGCTCGCAGCCGTCCCGGCTGCAACAACTTTCAATAAAGGTTATTCAACCCCTGGATCCCCGCGTGTGCCTTAAAAAAAACGTTTTGAACGCTAACTTGAAGGAACCAACAGTAACAACAACAACAACGACAATGACAACAACAAAACCCTCAACCCTGAAAGGGAACAATCCGACGCACCCCCCCCCGAATAAATACGGATACCGTAAGAACAAGCTATATACAATATGTAGCGAAGCCACAATGCACACCAATGGGCGGGGGACACCCCCCCCCCCACACAACACACAATGAACACAACATATATATACAAATCTTGCGGTTCCTCAACAGTCTGCGCATTTTTGCGCGTGTCCTTGCGGTATCACAACAGTTTTCGCATTTTTGCGCGTGTCCTTGCGGCGGGCCCCTCACACGGGGGAACCCCGGTTGGCGGACCGTCAGGTGGCAATCGTCCGTCCGGGAGCGGGGTCTCCTCTGATGCCTCGTGACTGTTGGCATCCCCAGAAGGGGTGGTCGGGCGTGAGCCCGTCAGTCTCGATGCACCTGGAGGTGGCACGGCCGGCAAGGCATTAGGTGAGCGCGGTGGGGACGGACCTAGTGAGTCGGTCGACCCCCCACACGTCTGGCCACGCATGTGTGAAGTGGGTTTGTGTGCCGCGACGAAAGGTTTCAACCGAGAGGGGTGCACGAACCATCGCCGCTTCCCCCAACGAATGCGCACGCACTGTGGTCGCAGGACCTCGACCACTTCCACAGGCCCCCGCCACGGTCGCGCCAGCTTTGGGGAGGTAGCCAGGGGTACTTGGGGACAGTGCAACCATGCCCTGTCCCCCGGTTTCCACTGTATGACATGCGCTCGACCCAACCTGAGGCGCTCGTTCGCCTTTTGACGGAGGTCCGAGTTTAACCTCGCAGCATCCCGTGCCTCTGTTAACTTAGCCAAATTAAATTTGACGTGGTCAGCCAATTTTGTTTTACCTTGCTGGTCGGGGATCTGCAGCTGGGCGCGAACAGGCGGGTCGGGTTCGCGACCGTACATAAGGTAAAAGGGGGAAAACCCCGTAGCCGCATGGGGTGCCATCCGATATGCCGCCAAGACCCCCTGAATATGCAGGTCCCAATCAGTCTGGGAATCTGAGACCTGCTGTGCCATCATTGACGAAATGGTGCGATGCAGGCGCTCGACCATTCCGTCAGTCTGTGGGTGATACGGGGAGGTCCGAATTTTCTTTGTGCCTAAGAGGTCACAGACTTGTTTAAGTAATTTGCTGGAAAAATTTTTACCCTGGTCGGTCAGCAGCCGTTCCGGGGCACCTTTGTCCAGGACGTATCCCTGAACAAAGGCGTCCACGATGGCTGCTGCCGACTGGTTGGCAAGGGGCCAGGCCATGGGCCAGCGCGTAAAATACTCGACACCCGTCAGCAAATACTTATTGCCCCTGGGGGTGGCGGGAAATGGGCCCAAGATGTCCAGTGCGACCAGCTCATTTATCCTGGACACCTTGATGGATTGTAACGGCGGGTTAGACTCCCGCGCCGGCGGTTTCCGCTGCGCACACCGCGGGCATGAACTCAGAAGATCCCCCACATCCTTTGTCATACCAGGCCAAAAAAAAATCTAGCTGTATTAGTGCGAGGGTCTTTAGAGTCCCCAGATGTAACAGGCGCTCATGCGCGGCCCACACCACTTTGCCTCGCAACTCCGAAGGGACGACCAGCCGATGTCGCTGTGATTTTGCGTCCCAGTGCATGAGCAGACCCTGTACCATTTCCCATGCACCCGAATCACCTTTCACCCGGCCAGCACCCCCGACGCGACGACGCCACCCGAGGAGGGAGGTGTCCTCCATTTGGAGGCGCCCCCACTCAGTGACGGGCAACCCCAACAGGGAATCCCTTCCCTGTTGTTCGATAGAATTATCAGCCAGTGGCTCGTCATCGTCGGTGGCTGCCAGGACCGGGACCGATGCGTCCCCTGAAGGTCTGCAACGTCCCGACCCCAGGAGGCATGCACATTCCGAGGCGGTTGGCATGCGTGACAGAGCGTCCGCGTTGGTATGGCGAACGCCCTTACGGTAAGTGGTCTCAAAATCAAAATCCTGGAGAACCTCCAACCATCGAGACAACTGTCCCGATGGTTGTTGAACTCGCAGGGCATACTGTAGTGCCGCATGATCTGTGCGGACGGTGAAATGCCGACCGTACAGATATGGGCGGTATTGTTGGATGAAAAAAACAATTGCCAACAGCTCTCTACGGGTAACACAATATCTCTGCTCCGCAGGAGACAACACCCGACTACCGTATGCGACCACCCGTTCAACGCCATCAACCACCTGGGAAAGCACACCCCCAATACCCGTGTTGCTCGCATCGGTGTCGAGCAAAAAGGGTTTCGAAAAATCAGGGTAGATCAAGGGAGGGGCTTTCACCAGGGCGTCCCGAAGGGAGCGGAACGCAGCCTCCTCCTCTTGACCCCAGTGGAAACGAACCCCTTTAGATGTTAGAGCGTGCAGGGGTTTTGCAATTGTTGCAAAATCAGCAACAAACCGTCGATAATACGACGCGAACCCAATAAAACTCCTGACCTCTCCCACTGTAGTGGGAGTCGGCCAGGAGCTGACACACTGCGTTTTGGCGGGATCGGTAGCAATACCCGAGCGTCCCACGATGTGCCCCAAATAACGCACCGAATCACGCAACAAATGGCATTTTTGGGGCTTAAATTTCAAATTAGCAGCCCGCATCTTTAGGAAAACTGCCCGCAACCTCTGGAGATGGTCATCAAAAGTTTTACTAAAGACGATAACGTCATCCAAATAAATGAGGCACGACTCCCATTGCAGTCCAGCCAAAACCAATTCCATCAACCGCTGGAAAGTTGCCGGCGCTGAGTGCAAGCCCATCGGCAACCTGTTGAATTGAAACAAGCCGTGCGGTGTACGAAAAGCAGTTTTAGGCTTAGACTCATCATCCAGAGGAAGCTGCCAGAATCCCGAAAGTAAATCGAGTGTGGAAAAGAATCGCGCTCCCGCCAAAGCGTCAAGCGATTCATCCATCCGAGGGAGCGGGTATGCGTCGGCAACCGAAATTTTATTAAGACGCCGGAAGTCAACGCAAAACCGCAACGAACCGTCCTGCTTTTTAACCAGGACGATCGGCGCTCCCCAAGGGCTGGTGGAGGGAGAAATGATGTCCGCGGCTAACATGTCATCAACAGCCGATTTGACATGTTCCTTTTCGGCGGGACTCAACCGAAACGGATTTTGGCGAATTGGCGCGCTGTCACCCGTGTCAATATGGTGACGCAGCAAGTGAGTGCAGCCCAAATCATATTTATCTCGACTAAAAACGTCGGAAAATTCTCGCAATAGCGTTTTAAGTTGTTGACGCTCTGAATTGGACAGGTCCGTCGATCCCGCACAAAGCGCCTCGAGCCACCCTTCATCGCTGTCCGAACGTGGTCGCGACGCAGGGACAGTGTTTACGGAATTTACGGCGGGCTCCTCACACGGCACCGGCGTTGCGTGAGCAAGCACGGTCCCCTGTGGGAGCACCACCGTCTGCGAGCCCACGTTTAGGACCGCGATGAAGGGTTCACTATCCCCTCTCACTATGGTCTGGGCCGGTAGTAAATCAGGTCCACTAACCCCGGCCCTAGACGGTCCCAACAGTACCCCTTGCGCCCCGACACCCTTAACGAGGGGCCGCCGAAGCTTCAAGGGCACCAACATTTGCGTTCCCGGAGGAACGCGTACCGTTCTCTCCACGAACGCCGGCACCGTCGCGAACGCCGTCCGAGTCGCAACTGGTGATGGCAGGAACGCCATGCGTCTGCCCGATGGAAGCTCTATGCACCCCTGGTCGATCAAAATTACAATCGGCATTTTGGCCAGGAAGTCCGTCCCCAGCAGGCACGGAACCGCCAGCGAGGACGAAACAAAAATCGGCCCAGACAATTTAATTTCCCCAATACAAATTTGGGCACGAATTTGTCCGATGATGCCAAGTGAGCCCCCGTTAGCCGCATAGAATGGTACGTTAACAGGCATCAAAGGACGGCTCCGGACAGGGAGAATATTGTAAATTAATTCCGAAATAATAGTCGCCGATGCCCCCGTATCGACCAGGATGCGCACTTCCACCCCGTCG